TTAAATTGTGAACCTGGATATTAGTGCATTCTGACACATTTAAGCTTTTTTGCTTATTTTAAAGAAGTGCTTAAAACATTTTCACCAATTAAGACTCACTATTTTTTCTTTGATAGTATTTGAACTAGTGAATTTACTCAAATACACTGCATGTTTCCCTACAAATGTATTCAAAATATGCATATTTTAAATTCAAATTACCCATAAGAAATTTGTGTTAATTTTCATATGCTAAAACATTAACTAGTATTTAAAAAAATATTATGGCAGGTTTATTAGATTTGTTCTCAGTATTCTCTCTCCTGGGTTCATTTAGCCACAGATAATGAAACCAGATAAATTAACCTGTCCAAATCTAGATTATTATTCTTCTCCTCCTCCTCCTCCTCCTCCTCCTCCTCCTTCTTATTCTTATTCTTCTTCTTCTATCCAGGATTGAACCCAAGGATACTTTACCACTGAGCTACATCCCCTGTCCTTTTGATTCATTTTGAGACAAGGACTCACTAACTTGCTGAGGCTAGCCTTGAACTTGTGGTCCTCCTACATCAGCCTTCTGTGTCACTGGAATTACAGATGTGAGCCACTACTTCACTGGATGTTGTTGTGGCTTCATCTTCTTCATTTTAAAAATAATTCCCTTTCTTTTTTTCTCCCTTTCTTTCTACCTCTCTTCCTTCCTTCCTTCCTTCCTACCTTCCTTCCTTCCTTCCTTCCTATCCTAATGAGAATCATGCTTCAATCATTGAAGCACATAAGCACTCCAATTTTATGACCCCTTTGGTAGAACATGCTCAACTGGACACCTATGGTTGTAAGGGAGGCTGGGAACATTATCAAAATGAAAAAAGAGATGAGACATTCGTGAATGTTTTTAAACATAAAGAATCAGTCTGATTCTATGTACTGAGCCGAACTAGATTTCCAATAGCAAAGAAAGAAAGAAAAATTACTCATAGAAATAACAAAGAATATCTATAATATGCACATTCTTTTAAATCCCAGCATTATATAACAAGTCCATTTATACAAGTCTCCTTCATAAATAACTAATGATGAATTTCTTGACATATTTGTGTCCTTGGTAAATTGTATGCTAAAATTGCATCAACAATATTTCAAATATTATCTAAATAATGTTTGTATGATTGCTAAATATAATTCACTTTAATTTATAGATATGAGAACTAGAGAAGAATTTGTTAAACCAAAGAATTGTGAGATTGGACTTATGATTTCTGACATTGATATTTACAAGCACTCAGCTTTTGAAGAATGTTGTATATATTGTTCAGCAAATATATAATATATAATCAGAAAATTCTTTAGTTATATCCAACTAAACTGCAAAAACACAATGCAAATATTACCTAAATAATGTTTATATGATTGCTAAATATAATTCACTTTTTTGAGAGAGAGAGAGAGAGAGGAGAGAGAGAGAGAATTTTTTAATATTTATTTTTTTGTTTTCGGCAGACACAACATCTTTGTTTGTATGTGGTGCTGAGGATGGAACCCAGGAACCCTGGCCGCATCCACTCCAGGCGAGCGCGTTACCGCTTGAGCCACATCCCCAGCCCAATATAATTCACTTTAATTTATAGATACCAGAACTAGTGAAGAATTTGTTGAACCAAAGTATTGTGAGATTGGACTCATGATTTCTGACATTGATATTTACAAGTACTCACCTTTTGAAGAATGTAGTATATATTGTTTAGCAAATATATAATACATAATCAGAGAATTCTTTAGTTGCCGCAGTCTGGCTGGGCACAAGTCAGAAGCCACTTGTCAAAGGAAACAAACTTTATTTTTAGAACACACACACCGCACCACACAGCTCTCCAGGAAAAACCCTGAGAGCCCAACTGCCACCACCAGCTTCCCACAAGCCTCTTAACCTCCCCCACTCCTCCTACTCTTGAGGCCGATAGGCTGGGTCACGTGGGCAGAGCCAAAAAAAGTCCCCCAATGAGCAGTTCTGTGGTCTGAAAGGGCGGGGAAACAGCCCAATGAGCATCACTGCAGAGGAGCCAATCAGTTGGCAGCTAGAAGTTTGCTGGGGCCACTGTGAGCCAATCATCAGCTGGCAGCTGGAAATTTGCTGGCATCTGGAAGCTTGCTGGGGCCCCTTCCGCTGTGGCTCTCAACATTTAGTTATATCCAACTAAATTGCAAAAACACAATGCAAATGCTGATATAGTAGTCTAATTCAATGCTAAGTAAGGCGTGCACGCGAGCGCGCGCACACACACACACACACACACACACACACACACACATATATTTCTACCTTTTTGGGAAAAAAATAGTTTCATGTCAAAATGCCATTTGTTAAACTGAATGGAAAAACTGAAAATGCTCGTATGATTTTTAAAGAAATAACTTTAGGTACTTTTGATGCATGTTAGAAAATAGATACTTATGAGCCTCATCAATTTATATGATGTGTTTCTAAGTAAGCATTTAATTACAGCAGCCCAAGGACAATTTTAGGTTCCATATAATCTGTGGATTTTAGAAGCACTAAATCGACTGCCTCCATAGACAAAGTGACATTTTAGCCAATGAGGAATTGGATACTGAACAGTATGACATTTCTCCCTCCTGTTAAGATCAAAGTGACAAGTCTCTACTTTCATCTGGATTTGCAGACTGAAAGTAGGTGATGAACTTTAACATGTATACATTATTAACACTGAAAACAAAGATGCTCATAAATAGAAAAGACTATGCTGCCTATTGTTAAATGTTGCTGTACCTGAATTGGCTTTGAATCACTCAACATTTGGTGATTTTAAAATGATTTACAGCAATGGGCAACACAATATCATTTCAAGTAATAAAACAGCCCTCACAGTCGCACAGAAGGTTCAGTCTTCACCAAAGGACCTACACACTTATTAAACAGATTTACTAAGAGCCTGATAATTAGAACCAGACAAACTTGATTTGTGTCCACAATCTAGCATTTCATGATTTCTGTAAGTTTGGGGAGTTCATTTATCCTCTCTGAAACTCACTTTTAAAAATATTGTAGTCAAATACACACACTATCTGAATCATTTCTAAGAGTACAGTACAGTGTCACTGAGTTTCTATACATTTTTGAGGAAAAACTATTATCACCCTTCATCCAAAAGTATTTTACACTTGAAAAAATAAGAATCTGTACCCATTCCTTTCTCCCCGTATAAAGAGAAAACCAGCATTCTACTTTTTTGGTGTTTTGTGAATTTGATTCTAGGCAGCACATATAAATGGAAACATATAATTTGTCCTTTTGTGAATGCCTAATGTTCTCATGGTTCATTAAAGTTATAATACATGTCAGAATTTTCTCCCTTTTTAAAGCTTAATAGTATTCCATTACATGTATATACTATTTTTTAACCCATGTATCTATTAGTACAAAGTTGGTACACTTGGGATGGTTCTACCACTTGGCAATTATAAATAATACTGCTGTGAAAATCAGTGTACCAATATCTCCACAAGTCCTGATTTTAATTTTTTAGATATATACTCAGAAGTAAAATTTCTGTATTATCTGGTAATTCAGTTTAATGTATTATAGATATCTGATACTATTGTCCATGGTGGTTGTACCCAGTTACATTTTCAGTAACTTTACACAAGAGTTCACTTTTTCCACATTCTCACCAACATTTGTAATTTATTTTTTATAGTAGTCAACCTAATGAGTGTGAGGGAAACTCACTTTTAAAGTGCAAGTAATAATACCTACATTACAGTTTGGTTTGACACAATTAGTACCTAGAACTTTTCAATTTCTTATGTCATTTCCAGGTTTTCATGATACTCCTGAAAATAAGGTGACCAAATTTCTTTTTATAAGAGCACCAGTCATATTAGACTATGGGTAAGGCTTAAGCCTCATTTAATATTAATTATCTCTTAAAGTTTCCATCTTTAAAAGAGTCACATTTTGATAGACAGGGGGCTAGGAGTTCAATATAGGAAATTGAGGAATTTGAGAATTCATCCCAGAATATCATATGGAATAATTATATCTGCTATATGCTTAGAATCAGAAAGATTTACAGAATAAAAACAATAATTTTAAGAAGTTTAGATTTTCCATAGCTTTCCAAGACACAGAAAAAATGCTTTGAAAAAGAAAATAATTGGTCTTAAAAACTTAGTTCATATTGTTGTTGAAGATTTTTAGACTCTGACAAATACTAATAGCTTTGTGTACAGTAATGAAGTGTAATTAACACTGAATTTGGTGACAATACAAGATTTAAGCAATGGTAAAGAGAGAAGCTTCTTGGAGAAGTTAGGTTCTCTGATTCATTAATAACTGAATTAAAAACTTCCCTCAAGATCAGGTTTACACATTTGCACCTTATGCATAAAAATGTAATTTTGGAATGCAGGCTGCAGCACATTGGGATTTAGGTGGTTTTTAGAGGATCTTACATAATTAATGAAAAACAAACACAGGCATAAAGAAGCTTCATAAATATAGTCTTATGCAAATATTCTATGCCACCTAATTCATAAAGATTAGGGATATATGTGATTCCAAAGGACTTCAATTGTATCTATTTTTCCTCACTGCAAAGTAAAAATGCCCTTTGCGTTTTTAATTTTATAAAATAATCTAAAATAGAAATGACCTATAACAATCCATTAATAAAATAGTACTGAATTATTCCTTATTTAGATTAATGGTAACACTAAGCCACAACCCACAGATAGCTCCTAATAAAGTACTTCTCTACCCTTCTCAAATCAAGTACTATTAATTACACTAAGTTCTCTGGTATTACAAATGTGCAGTTTGCATCTCTGCCATGTGACTCCCTTCATAGCGATTGTCAGCTTAATTTTACTCCACCTTCATTTACAGTGTGATACATGGGTTTTGTCTAGTCCTATATATCCCACCTTTACTTTTTATTTGTTGATGAAATTTGTAGATTTCAAAAATGCTGCCAAGGGCTTAGGACCTGCGACTGCCACCCCCCACCCCTTGGAGCGACTCATGGAGCGACCATAAGACTGCAGTTTCTTCAGTCAAAATGACATCATATTCCACCTCTGCCCAGTGTTCAACATCTGATAGTGCTTGCAGGATCTCTCCAGAACGAGTCAATAAGGTACGACCAAAATTGCCACTTTTGAAGATTTTGCAGGCAGCAGGTGCAGAAGGTGAAATGTTCACTGTTAAAGAGCCCTCTCTATGATATGCTAAGAAAGAATCTTGTCACTTTAACCACTGATACTACAGATGCTGCTCAGACTCTCGCTCTCGCACAGGATCACAGTTTGGATATTCCAAGTCAAGACCAACCCAAGCAAAGTGCAGAGGAAAGTTCTAATTCCAGGAAAAGAATTGAAGAGGGTGATATTCCTGCACTGCCCACCTCAGAGCATAAATGCAAAAATTCTAGAGAAGATGAAGACTTGATAAATTTAAGCCAAGATGAGACATCTAGGTTGGACCTTGAGTTTGAGGAGTGGGATGTAGCTGGCCTGCCTTGGTTGTTTTTAGGAAACTTGAGAAACAACTATACACCCAGAAGTAATGGCTCAACTGATTTACAGACAAATCAGGATATAGGTACTGCCATTGTTTCAGATACTACAGATGATTTGTGGTTTTTAAATGAGTCAGTTTCAGAGCAGTTAGGTGTTGGAATAAAAGTTGAAGCTGCTGATACTGAACAAGCAAGTGAAGAAGTAGGGAAAGTGAGTGACAAAAAGGTGATTGAAGTGGGGAAAAATGATGACCGTGAGGACTCTAAGTCCTTAAGTGATGATACTGATATAGAAGTTACCTCTGAGGATGAGTGGCAGTGTACTGAATGCAAGAAATTTAATTCTCCAAGCAAAAGGTACTGTTTCCATTGCTGGGCCTTGAGGAAGGACTGGTATTCAGATTGTTCTAAATTAACACATTCTCTCTCCACATCTGACATCACTGCCGTGCCCGAAAAGAAGGAAAGTGAAGGAATTGATGTCCCTAATTGCCGAAGAACTGTTTCAGCTCCAGTTGTTAGACCTAAAGATGTATCTATAAAGGAAGGAAATTCTAAACTTTTAAATCCCTGCAACTCAGTGGAATTCTTGGATTTGGCTCACAGTTCTGAAAGCCAGACCATCTTAAGTATGGGAGAACAATCAGATAACGTCTCTGAGCAGAGAACAGATGTAGAAAATATGGAGGATTGCCAGAATATCTTGAAGCCATGTAGCTTGTGTGAGAAAAGACCACAAGATGGGAATATTATTCATGGAAGGACAAGCCATCTTACGACTTGTTTTCCCTGTGCCAGAAGACTAAAGAAGGCTGGGGCTTCATGTCCTATTTGCAAGAAAGAGATTCAATTAGTTATTAAGGTTTTTAAAGCATAGTTGAATCAACTGCAAAGAAATATTAATTAGGAGCACCAGGTCACGTATGGAAACATCAGTATTGACTGTCTCTACTAATTGTAACCCATTTTATGTGTTCATTTGTACATGTAAACATCTGTGGTCGCATTGTTTTGCTTTGAAGCTTACATGGAACTTAAGACTGAGTATTTTAGAGCTAGATGATCAGTTTGGGGGCTTCATTAATGTGAAAAGATACATAAAAGTCACTTAATTCTCCCTCCAAAGATGAAGATCTGGGAGGGAACAGTTACCAGTATAAACATAAATATTCATTCATTCACATATCAGATTATTTGAAGATCAACCCTTTTTAAAATTTTATTCCCTAGCCTTCTATTTAATGTTGTTCTGGAGTCAAAATTCAAGGTAGTTATTAGAAAAATACTAAGATTAACGATGAAAAAAACAAATAATCTGATTAAATTATGAAGTGCCATGAATCACTTTGTAGTCAGGCTGCCTAGTTCAGAAAAATTAGAAGAAAGTGTTTTTGTTTTGTTTTGTTTTGCAGTGCTATGGTTTGAACCCAGGGCCTCAAGCATGTGCTCTGCCACTCAGTTTTAAACACAAGTGCAATGATCTTGACATAGCATACATTTGAATCAAATGGGATCTAATTTCTCATTTTTCTGAGTGTACAGGTTGCAGAATTACATTGGTTATGCAATCACGTATATTCCCACAGCAATAATAATGTCTATTTTATTCTGCTGTCCTTCCATTCTCCCCTTCCCCTCCCCTTTAGTTCTAAAAGAGACAAGATCTCATTGTGTTGCCCATGCTGACCTCCAGCTCATGATCCTTCTGCCTTAAGTTTTCTAAGTAGATAGACTTATAGGCATGTGCCACTGCACATCACTTAAACTAGGTCCAATGGTTATTAAACATTTAGCTAACACACCCTTAAAATAATTTTGAGAAAGAGTAAATTTTCGCACATTTAAAAAATCTAGATATAATTACATAATGAAATGTTCCCTTTGGATGAGTTTTAAAAATCTGAGTAATTGCACAAAGCCCTGTGTTCAGTCCCCAGCACCACACACACACACACACACACACACACAAAATGGTTATCACCACTCTAAAAGTGTTGTAGGATACTCCTCTCACTGCAAAATGTTTACTTTTGAGAAAGTCCTTTAACCATTTCATTGTTCTCTCCCAGAATAGTTTTCCTTTTGCACATTTTTAATATGAGAAAAAAAAATTTAAAATTACAAAGGGTATACCTACCATCTTAGTATATTGTATGTACACTTTAGAAATATTTTTGTTAAAGTTTTGGAGCTATAAATTTAGCAGATTAAATTTATAGAAAATACTGTCACATAAAAGTGGCAAAAATATCATCATTTTAAGATTGATGAGCCAAATCACATGAAACTTTGAGTCAGAAAATGTTAGTTGTAGTTCAGATAAATATATGAGCGTATATCTGGCACAGCCTTCTCAGTGATAAGTTGTGTCTTTTTTTGTTTCCCTGTGGTGCTGGGGATTGAACCCAGGGCTTTGTGCATCCAAGTCAAGCACTCTACCAACTGAGCTATAACCCTAGCCCTTGGTGATTAGTTTTTAAAAAGAAAAGGCACAATTTTTTTTAACCAAAGCTCCCCTTGCTTTGCTTTCTTGTATTCATTTTCTCTTAGGAGCCTTCCAAGGTTTTTTTAGTCTCTTTGTACCTCGGGAGTAGTTCATACCTCAGGGCAAAGACCTAAAGTAAGATTTGCGTGAGAGAATTAGGGAGTATGACAGTTGTAAAAAGGCAAGTAGTTCAAGAAAAATGAATATCTCTAATTCTCTTTAGTCACCTTAAGTCACATCAGGTTTAGGACAATACATGTAGACACTGAAGATTTTCAAGTTGATTTCCTTATTACCATACATATGTCATCATACACAGCAAAATTTTGATGTATCAGGGATAGGAATACATCATTTTGCAAATGAACTTGGGGACCAAAAAAATCACCTGATTACTTATTAAAGTACCCATATTCCCAGAGATGGGAGCTCTGAGGTCTGGGCCATTTAAACAAATATTCTTGGAGACTTTGATTCAAGTTTTCTAGAGTACTCTAGTGGAAGCCCTGCCCCAGGAGGGCTTTCATTTCCTGTTCTTGTAGGTTCAAAACAAGAAGTAGGCAGCACAAGATCCCTTTATCATATTAGTTTCTAGAAGGGAAGTTTTAAAATTTTTTAAGAAATTAAAATTGTGGGCACAATTTTTTTTTTTTATTTTTATGTGATGCTGACGATTGAGCCCAGTGCCTCACACATGCTAGGCAAGCACTGTATCACTTTAGCCACAGTTTCTGAATTTTAAGACTGATGTATTCAGTCCCTCTTTGCACATGAAGCCAAATGATAAGGCTGGTGATTGGGGGTTACTAGAGTCCAAGTCTCATGACTAGCAAATCTTAAAAATACCTGTTAACTTTTGGTAAATGTTTTAAAGAGTGGTACTTGTTGAATTTGGGACAAGTAATAACCTTAAAATATATATGTTCTAATGTTTTTAGAGACTCTGATTTATAGCCAAAATGAGACTTTAGAAAGAATAAAGATTTTTAACATTTCTCCCAAAAGAAAGACCTAGTAAATGTCAGGCTTAGCGAAATCAGAAAACTGCTCCCACTGTGAGAAAAGTAAGGTAACAGAGGGACTCTGAACCATTTTCTCTAGGTATTGCTTTTTCCTGGGAACTGAAGCTCAAGTGTGGTGCGCTCTCTGCATTTAGGGATGTTAGTTTTCCCCCTAGTAAGTAAAGCTTACTTACAAATGTTTTGTTAGAACATCGTGAATGTTGTAAAATTTTAGAAAATTTCATCTCTGTCCCTCCCTCTATACTTACTTTGTAAGAGTTTGATAGCTCTCCAATTTTTTTGGATCTTTTGCCAATGACATGCTTTTGTAACTTAATCAGAACTGAAGATCTGTAGTTGTGCCCTGCAATCCACTTATATAACTTGCAGTTTTTTGTAAGACTTAAATGAGAGAAGAACTACACATTTATTTATGTTTGTATATTTATTATGCTAATTTTGGTACATTCATACTCAAGACTTACTCCTGAGTCCACTCACTCAGTTTCTTTCCTTTTCCTCAGCTGGGGTTTTCACTGCCTTCTCCACTCCCCCAAACCCCAGCACCAAATACTTTGCATACAGAATCCAAGGTGTGTTTTCATTTTCTTTAGTTTTTGTTTTGCAGTGTTAGGGGTCAAACTTCCTGTTTACCTGCAGAAAACTAAACTATCTTAATTTATTTCTGATTTTGTTTTTTCATTGCCTCTAAAGCAAGGGTATAGTTTGTGAAATCTTTTAGAGTTAACTAAAAGGTAGACCCTTCATCTTTTAGTTGTGTCTGTGGGGACGTAGCCTCTGCTTTCCTGGAGGTAGCACCAGTTTTCCCTTATCTTTCAGCATCCTACTTCTGGTTTGTCTCCATCTCTCCTCGTTCACTTTTCAAATGTTGTCTTGGGCATTCAATTACAAGATCACTAATCTTGATTATTAGGAAGGAGCTTTTAAAATAAATATCAGTGGAGTTTAGTGTTTTCTGCTGCACAATGCCATAAGACATCAATGAAATCACGGCATTTGATTTTTTCTTTTAGTGCTTAATCAGACTCTGATAATCTATGCCAAGTTTTTAAGCTGGTATTACTATTTCTTTATAGTCCATCTGAAGATATCATCATGTCTGATCATAGGCTGAAACAGTAGAACCAACTTTGGCCAGGCCATCCATCCCATCCTTCAAACTGCCATAGACTTGTGTAATTTAAGATTGAATCACTGCCAAATCTTTGAGATAATGTTGGGGTCTAGTTATAATTTGTGTATATTTAGATGTATATAATATGTAGAATGTTCCTTGGTTTGGATGAGTTCTTTTTTTTTTTTTTTGTTATACTTTTTCATTGTGGTGCTGAGGATCAAACCCAGTGCCTCACATGTGCAAGACAAGCGCTCTGCCACTGAGCCACAACCCAGCTCCTGGATGAGTTTATATTTAAAGGTAAAGATCCTTGTGACAGCTTTTTGAGTTTGTCAATTCAATGCCACGTTGGCTCCTTTGAAAAAGTAATTAATAAGAAGTTGATGAATGTTTTTGGGTTCTATAAAGCTATTGTAATGACACCTCTTGATATACTTTAGAAAAGAGGAGAAACTTGCTGACCACCTGTTTGGATTTTGTTTCCACAGAGCTACGTGAACTTCTGAAAGTATGTGGCTTTAGATACTGTGAATTTTTTTGTTTTCTGTTTAACCCATTTTGTGCCTAAATTGTTCAGACTTATAAAGAAAAATTTTGATGATCCTTCCCATGCTGAGTGTATAGGTACATGCACACATACCATGTCAAAACTGATGCTGCCTTTGCTACAAGTGGTTGTAGATAAAGAACTAGCTGTATTTAAAATCTATACTTCAAAGAACCTGCAAGCTCTCCCTGTGCCAAAATTAAATGTACAGTGTTTCCAAAAAAAAAAAAAGAAATTTGTATTGATTTGACCATGCATGATTGACATTTTGTGATAAGTTAGAGTCATGGTCCAAATTTATCATGCTCTGAACCAATAACTGATCCTATCTCCTCATCACATAGGAAGTGTATTTCCTCTTCCTTTGTCACTGGGAGAAAGTCATGTGATGGCTTTTGTTGAGGATCAATGTGAAAAAATTATGGTGCAACAAGTGTGATTGTAAGCTTAAGGAAGGAAATTTTTTTACTTGCCCTCACGTGTTTATTTCATACTAGAAAAACGTTTTTCATTTAGAATAATTTCCCCAAGAGCACAATGAGACAAATGTGGAACCAGATTGACCCCAGCTTCTGCACCCTCAAGCAGAATTGCCCACAAACTTGCAGGAAGAAACAACAGTTAGCTGACCTCATCTTCAGTCAACCAAATTGTAGATATCAGAATGCTAAGAAGTGGTTATTGCTCTTTTATGCCTGCTCTGGAGCAATAAATAACTGACACATGTTTTTTCAACTAAAATTTTCCCCCTCAAAATTCATATACTGAAGTCCTAATACCCAGTACATCAGCATACAAGTGTATTGGGGAGATAGGGCCTTTGAATAGTCAATAAATGTAAAGTAAGTTCATTGGAATGAATCGTATTTATTATGACAGGTGTCTTTATAAAACAAGTTGATCAGGACACAGACACACACACAGGAAGGACAATAGGAGGAGGTAGGGCAGGACAGGTATCTTCAAGCTGATTGAGAGAAACCTTAGAACAAAACAAAATTGCCAA